TCAAAGCAAAAAATCTGGAAGGACATTTTGATGGTCCCCAAGTCATAATACTTGCATTTATCGGGCTTTTCACTTTACAATGGAGCAAAAGTGATATACATTCAGTAGAAACTGTGTGTTGACTTTTTATCTTTTTCAGGTTAGTGATAGTCAGTGGGGTATTTTTTTTAGCGATTCTGGGCAGCAGCAGAGAGCCCTGTTGCCCAGTTTGCCATGTAATTGTGGCAGTGAACAACTGGTGCTCTACAGTGTACAGTCTTGCTAAGCTATGATGTTTAGCAATTAGGTAACCGAATCCATTTTCAACTTCTGAGGGCTTATCAGGGTGCAACCCCATCCTAAGTTGAGTAGCATCTGTACTAAGAGTGATGGTCTTAARCTTTCTAAGAAAGCCGGGGTTTTTAAATTTCCAGTTACCACAGGATCCACTAACTCAATCAGGTAATAAGAAATAAACACTTTATTATCAGGCTGGAATGTACTTCTTCAATCATCGATAAGCTAAATTCAAGGTGTTAGCTTTCTTTCCTCTTGTCACCCCTTTAAATCTAATTGGACATTTGATCTCATATTGGTTTCTAAAGATTAACTCTGGTCAACAAGGGAGATGACCTCTGAAAATCCTCACCAGACTTTGTTTTTAGCCTATTCCAGACCAATTTAACACAGCAAATCTTAAATGCTTCGAGGTAAGGAAACAAAATCTGAGCAGCAGTAGAATCAGTGAGCAAACAAGAGTTGAGAAAAAAAAAAAGGGTTAGAAAATACAGGGTTACTCATACATTGCTGGTGGGACTGCAAATTGGTGCAGCCAATATGGAAAGCAGTATGGAGATTCCTCAGAAAACTGGGAATGGAACCACCATTTGACCCAGCTATCCCTCTCCTTGGTCTATACCCAAAGGACTTAAAAACAGCATACTACAGGGACACAGTCACATCAATGTTTATTGCAGCACAATTCACCATAGCTAAACTGTGGAACTGTGGAACTAATCTAGATGCCCTTCAACAGATGAATGGATTAAAAATGTGGTATATATACACAATGGACTATTACTCAGCAATAAAAGAGAATAAAATCATGGCATTTGCAGGTAAATGGATAGAGTTAGAGAAGATAATGTTAAGTGAAGTTAGCCAATCCCAAAAAACCAAATGCTAAATGTTTTCTTTTGATATAAGGAGGCTGATTCATAGTAGGATAGGGAGGGGGAGCTTGGGAGGAATGGACAATTCTAGATAGGGCAGAGGGGTGGGAGGGGGAGGGAGGGGGCAAAGGATTACAAATGATGGTGAAATGTGATGGACATTATTATCAAAAGTACATGTATAAAGACACAATTGGTGTGAATATACTTTGTATACAACCAGAGATATGAAAAATTGTGCTCTATTTGTGTAATAAGAATTGTAAAGCATTCCGCTGTCATATATAAATTTTAAAAATCAATTAAAAAATGAAAAAAAATACAGGGTTAGAAGAATTTTTGTTGCCATAGCCAATGTTTAATAACTATGAATAAATGGGCTAGATTTTGATATCATATTGAAAAAAAATTATGTTGCTTTGTCAAATTAGTAGAAAAAAGGGTGGACTATGTAACAAACTGTGTTGGGACAAATGATTAAAAACATGGACAATTGTAGTTAAATCATAACCTTATATTTTAAAGAAAAATAACTTATATATGAATAAAATTTTTTAAATATGACACTAAAAAGTACTAAAGAAAATCTCAGTCGATAGTCATGAATGAACTCAAAGTTAGAGGTACCAACCAAAGATTGAGAGAGACTTATATGTACTTAAAATATATATTTTTATATTTATATTTTCATTTATATTTAAAATATTGGTTGTCAAAAAATAAATTATAAATTGTGTGGAAATATTTGTAACATRTGACAAAAGGGTTAATATTTTTAACTTTAGAAAGCATTTTTATAAATTAATGAGAAATGYTGATGATCCCAATATAAAAGTGGAACAAGATTAAAAGTACACAGTTCACAAAACAGTAAACATAAACATGATTTTCAAGTCGGGCATGGTGGCACACACCTGTAATCTGAGCAACCTGGGAGCCTGAGTCAGGAGRATTGCGAGTTTAACGCCAGCCTCAGCCATTGGGTGAGGCACTAAGCAATTTGAGACCCTCTCTCTAAATAAAATACAAAAGAGGCCTGGGGATGTGGCCAGTGGTTAAGTGCCCCTGGGTTCAATCCTCCGTACCAATAATAATAATAATAATAATAAAAAACAGTAACCAGAGAACATTAAAGCCACACTGATACATCATTTTGTACCTACCATATTGGCAACAGAACAAAACATGTCTTCACTCTCTGAAGGACAGTTACCAATACTCCCCCCAAAAGAGTCTTTTGCACGTAGGCTGCTATGGTTTGAACATCCGTGTCCTCTCCAAGATTCATGGGAAATTTAATTTCCAATGCCACAGTACCAAGTGGTGAGGCCTTTAAGTGGAGCTCTTAAGTATGAGATTGGGTATCCTTATATAAGAACTTGATGGAGACTATTTGCCTCTTTTTCTGCCCCTTTTCTCTCTTCCACCATGTGAGGACACTGTTCCATCCCTCCAGAGGATAAAGCAACAAGGTGCCATCTTGGAAGCAGAAACTGGGCTCTTACCAGACCCTGAAACTCCCGACTCCTTGACACCTGGACTTTCTAGCTGCTAGAACTGTGAGATATGTTTCTCTTCTTTATACGTTACCCATTCCGAGGTATTTGGGCACAGAAGCACACATGGGCCAATTTTAATCAAAAAACTTCCCTTTGGAGAATTTTTTTTTTCTCAATAAACAATGAGTGAAGCTTTATAAGTCAGGATAGTCATTGCAGCACTGTTCAAACCAGGAAAAACAAACTATCTGTCTAAGAGAGGGATTGCCTAAGAAATAAATTTGCTGACTACTAATATTCTTTTTTAWATTTATTTTTTGGCTGTAGTTGGACACAATATTTTTATTTWTTTATTTATTTATTTTTATGTGGTGCTGAGGATCGAACCCAGGGCCTTGCACCTGCTAGGCAAGCACTCTACCGCTGAGCCCCAGCCCCAGCCCTGACTACTAATATTCTTATAGAAGAATATTGATGTGGACTGTACACATGTACATGAATATTTACATAAACATGTAAATACACATATTTATWGGGAAAAGGAAGTCTTAAATCAGACAAAAGGAATGGGGAAGACCAACTTCATTCTTCTCCTCATTCAGTCCAGAACTCAGGAACTCTCCTGACCCTGGGTTCTTCCTGTTTTTCCTTCAAGGGCCCCCCAATTTCAATAAAGGGTCTCAACATCTACAAGCTTTTTGAACCAGAACCTGAGCTTTGACCCTCCTCTTCCTCTTCAGTCCGCAGCCAGTCAATCACTGTCCATTCTACATCTGAACTGCCACTCAAATCCATGCACCTACGCATTTTCACTGTCACTACCCGAGTCCAATTCATCTCCACTATTAAGAGTCCCTGATCAATCTCTCTGCCAGAGCAATCTTGGTAAACATGAAATTACTTAATTGTCCCCTTTGCATGAACACAAGACTTGTCCTCCCTGACCCTTAAGATATTAAGTTCAACTCCTCTTTCCAATGTTCTCCGTAATCTGGTCTCATCACATATGATAGTCCTTCCTGTCCCTATTCAAGCCATGTCCAGCCACACTCAACTTCTGTTCCCGGAATGCACAGTGCTCTGTCTTAGGGGAGCCTTGCTACCTTCCACCTTTGCCTGGTCAACACCTTTTCATTTGTTGGAATCCCAGCTGAAGTCCTTTCCCCTCAGGTAGAACCTTCCCTGAGTGCCCTCTACTTCCGCTCTTCAACCCAAGTCATAAATGGCTCATCTGTCTTCCCCTCTCAAATCTGATTTTCATGTCAGGAGTTGTATTTCTCTTATTAATCAGTGTCCCCAGTGGCTAGGAAAAAAAATGGCTGCCATATAATAATATGCGATATGTATTGAATTGAATTCACTTGGCTCTCCTGTTTACATTTTTTTTTTCCTTCTCTTCCTTCTTTTCTTCCTTACTTTTCTTTATTTCTTTCCCCCTCTTAGGTCATGATGGCCAACACTACCTAACCCCTCTGGTGTGGGCTGTGTGTGTGTGTGTGTGTGTGTGTGTGTGTGTGTACTGGCTAGAGATGTAATGAAGTTGACGTAGTCCCTATGAGAGTTGAAAGTCCCTGTTACAGCTTGGAAAGCCAACAATTCCATTTGAAAATTATGGGCTTGTATACTGGGTGTGTATACTAATAAAAGACTGTGGGATTTTAATGGCATAGATTAAAAAAAAAATAAAAACACAACCTTTATTCCAGCCAAGGCAAGATTGGCAACT